TTTATATATATATATACATATATATATATATATATATATATATATATATATATATATATATATATATATATATATATATATATATATACATATAGTGCTATATATAAATATATACATATATATATACATATATATATATATATATATATATATATATATATATATATATATATATATATATATATAATATATATTTATATATATATATATATATATATATATATATATATATATATATATATATATATATATATATATATATTGAGTGCTGGTACTAATAAAATAGTGCTGTATAATAACAGAGCTATAATTTCTATCAATAATAAATATACATTTTCAGTTTTAATCCCCATCTGAATCTTACATTATGCATGAAACTCAGTTTTGTTGCCAGTGAGGAAATATATATATATTATGGTGTCTCTGGGCAAATTTTTGAACTTCTCCAGTCTTTCTTATGAAATTGCAAAATGAAAGTTATCCTGAACAGCCATTCTTCTAGATCCTTTCATATTAATGCAGGTGACCCAAGCACTCTGTCCGTGGTCCTACTTTATTTTTGATTTTCATTAATGACCTATCCGATGACATCAGCTCTCAACTTGATATCTATGCTGATGGCACAACCATTTACTCCTGTTTCAATAGTAAGTCTGATCATTTCAATGAAGTCAAATTGGTGGCTGATGTCAAAGACAACCTTCAGTCTGTTGTTAACTGGAGCAAAGGCCTCCAAAACTAAGCTGCTCTTTATTAATCATCTTCGAGACTTCCATCAGCATGGGTGATGCTAACCTCCAGGAGAGTGACTCGTTGCGCCTTCTCAGGCTGACATTTTCTGTATTAACATTCCTAGGGCTACAGGATCTGGGCTGAGATTGCCATGCAGTTTACCATTGAAAAACTCTATTGAATTCATTGCTAGATCAGCTGCTAAGAAAGTTGGTTCACTCTGTCTTGCTAAACATTTTTTCTCTCCAGAATCTATCTTACATATCTATGTCTATCATTTGTCCATGCTTAGAATATTGCTGCCACATATGGCCCAGTACTTCTGCTATATATCTATAGTGCCTTAATAAAATCCAAAGAAGAATCAGCAATATTATTGGTCTGACATCTTGGCTTCAGTCACTTTCTCACTGCCATAAAGTTGCCTCTGTGCCTTTTCTACAAATACTTTCATGGTAATTGTTTGGATGAACTCTTCACTATGGTACCAATGTCGCATGAAGTTGACAGAAATCAACACTGGATGCTGACTATATCCACATAGTCTGTGTATATGTATATGTGTGTCTGTGTGTGTATATATATATATATATATATATATATATATATATTGTATGAAAGTTAACTAAATGTTAAAAAAACATTCCTTCTCTATAGCCTTTAATCAAACTGGTGTGTATAGAGAGATCTGAAAAGTTCTTGTTGAGTTAGAAGATATTTTTTTAAAACCTGATGTTAGTTCATTTGGTTGGAATCTGGAAAGTGGGTCAGTCCAAGAACTTTTCAATACCCCTTCATATATGTATGTGTATGTATTAATATACAGTGCACACAGCCACACACATTTTACTTGTTATAGTAGAATTGAAATGTGTTCATGACAACAGGAAGCTGCCTTTCCAACCCTTCTAAGTTTTGATTGTAAATATCTGTGTCATAATGAAGCAACTTCTATCCATCACTCTCATTTAGATATTATTAAGCAAAACTGCAGGATATCTTATTAAAAAAAAATATTCTACTCATGTTTTCCATATTTGACAAGATAGTTTCTAGGAAAATCTTTTAAAGTTAATTTACCCAGAAAACTTGAATTTGTAATATGAAAATTAAGTCATTGAAATGAGTTTCAATTCTAATTATAAATGCTGATATTATTTTATATTATTTCCTTGGGAAATGTCATGGATCAACTCTTTCTTCTATCCTACTATGTGACCAGTTATTTTTTATCCTGATTTGATAAATGACATGCCAGGTTGGCTGACAGGAAAGAGAAAATGAGGGTGATACTGTACAAGTCTCCCTTTTTGTAATTCAAATCAGGTACAAGTACAATCCCTTGAATAAGGATTAATATTGAAGTCAAAAATGAATGAAGGCTCATCACCACTTTCATTCCTATCACAAAATAAAATTAGTATTTTTCCTTGTAAGAATTATGAATTTAATACTAGACTGATTACATATTAAAAAGTGTTTTGAGGCCACTTTGAAATCAAGGTCTTTCTTCTTATCTAACTGAAATCTATAGGAATGAATATGTCCAGTTTGTTATAACAGTTTCTTATGAAACCTGAGATATTTCTGTATTTAGTTCTCACAACTACCACCTGAGCTAAATCAATAAGTAATAATTCTAAAGTTGAGTCACCCTTCCTTTCAATAAACCAATCAGAAAATGTTAAGGAGCTTTGCAGCTGTACAAAGAAAATCACTTATGTGATCAATTTGGGAGAAGCCATTTTAGATAACAATAACTGGTAACTGATAGCAAAGGATATAAGCTTGAATTTGCATTTACATTTGTTGTAATCATATTATAATTCTGCTTGTTCCTTCGTTATCACATACATTATACACTGTAATAGGGTGCCTGTCCTCTACCCACAAATTTAGCCTGCCTGTCCTCTACCCACAAATTCTTGGTATAGATGCAGCAGAGTAAATACCTAACTCTTTCTTTTATTTAACTTCCAGCAATCCTCATTCACAGGTATGTTGGATCTGTGTATATGTATTTCAAGAAAGAAAGGGAAGACAGAGGAAGTGATAATACCTTCATGTATTTAACATCTGCTTCAGTGAAATAGCATATAAAAATATGAATTATGCTCGCCCCAAATGATTAATTTCAGTAATAAAAATGAACAAAATCAGTGGAATTTCCATGGGTCATGCTCTACAAGGTTAAAGGAAATAGATGTCATAAAAATTTATTTGAAAAATGAAAAGGCATTAAAACACGCTTTCTTCATTTTTGCTAATAGGTAGCAAAAGTAAAAAAAAAACAGTATAGGCTATTTTATATAAATGACTTGAGGCAAATAGCTAGGTAAAGTGTTGAAAGTTTACATTACTAGTAAAAAGATAAATTTGCATATACACCTCGAAGTCACTGTTGTGTAAGACTCTAATGTGAAAAAATAAAAAAATAGCAGAGAAATTCCACAGATTCCCATTAGTAAATTCATTATTGTTGTTAAATTCATTGTTACAAACAACTTTACATTATAAAAAATAGCCAGAAAATTGATAGGGATACTGGAAGTTTTAAAACTTTATTTTAGCTTGAGTCTAAGCTGTTAAACTTATGTGACACTGAGATCTCCGGAGGATGATCAAACAAAAAAAAATGGAAAGAAAGAAGAGGAGAGAGTCTGGATGGTAATTGTTGAAATTCGCAGGAAGATGGATTGAAAAGTTGAAAAGAAAATTAAAAATGAAATGTGTTGAAAAATCATGTTTTGAAATAATTCCAAGGGGAATTGAACCCAAATTTAACTAGACAGAATTCAGTAAAATTTAGCAAAACCATGACTACCAGTGCTTCTCCACTTCCTGCTGATGAGAAAGAGACCATTAAGATATCCACAAAGATGTCAAATAAATAAAAACATGTGTTGTCAATAATGAGACCAGAGTGGTTACCAATATAAATAACATTCACAATTCCTCTAGACAAAAAAAAAGGGGTTAGAAAAAGCTGTTTGTTTTGAATCAACCGCCCAGAAAAGAAGTATTCCCACAGAAATAGAGACTGACTGGATGCATTCATTATTATAATTTCTGTGACATTTTATATCCAAACATTAATTCAGATTCCTTTGGATACAAGTGATAAGGAAAAATGAATTACTATTTTGAAGTGACCATGGATGAAAAGGCATAGACAGAGAAAAGATAAACTTTCATTTTAAGGAGAGTGGAAATAATTTTTCTTTCCTTTTTCAATTTTTGAGTGGTCTGGTTGATCAAGAGATCCCAGTATGGGGTAAGCTGATACAGAAGGATTAATAACTGAAAATCCCTTTTGTTTTCACTGCACCATGTGGAAGTTGGATTTGTCACATCTACCCTGGGAGTGGGATGAAGTTGGCTGCTGAGAAAGTGGGAGAAAGAAGAGAAGGAAAAAAAGAGATTAGCACTGCCTATATGGAGCTATGGTGTGAGGTGAGGCATAAAGAGAGCTGGAGTTAAGGGATGGCTTGATCCCTCTGACCACTCTCAAAAGAGGGCTGGACAACCCCAAATTTGGAAAACCACTTGAGTAAATGTATTTTTATATATGGAAATTTAGAAATGGTTGATGCTTAGGGTAGAAGACAATGGAACCCAGACTCTAGTCAACCCCACCCCTGTCGGACACAGGTCTCCATATAAGCTGGAGATTTTGGACAGCTGAGACACAAATCTGGTTAGCAACTAAGTGTTCTTCAAGTGGCCTGGTCACATGTGTCATCTTGTGTCTTTAGTAATAAACTAGAAAATAAAAATGCATGAAGAACAATGTTAGCAATGGATGAAAAGGAAAAAAAATCTTGTGTTCTAGGTGAAAGTAAACTATCATTGGTATATATATGTGTAGAACCTGTGATGAAGGATTAGACATTACAATGTTCAACCAAAGTCAACAAGACTTAATGCTAATAAAATGGATGATTGTTTTCCTTAAGAGCTAAAACTGGACTGAGCTGACTGGCTTCATGATGAACTCCAGTTCATATTTTATAAAGATCACGAATATTAAAACTAACAATAAATCCCATTTATTGTTATTTTTAATAACCATTGATTAATTTCTCAGGTATCTGGAGTAACCTTGTGGGAATTGTGAACTGATCCATTTATTCAGTCAACAGTGTTAGAATGTTCTCATCCATAATTCTGGAGGGTGTCTTTTTATCAGTTAATTCTTCTTAGTTGATTTATTAGTATGATGACCCTATAGATCATTGCACTAACCCAGCAGCTTATGGCCACCTCACATTCAAATACTGGTTCCCATATGATCACTGAAGTTAAGCACCATCAATCCTGGTTAATACTTAGATGGGTGACCACTTCAGAATACCACGTGCTGTAAGCTTGGATATTTGGGTAGTGTAATGGATAATGGCTCAAAATTTTTAACCAGAGAGCTGAATTCCATTTTCTGTTGGTTTAGTTATAGTTATTTACATGCAAATATCCTTGGAAAATATATGACTCCACCTCTTCTCTTCCCAGCTATGGGTTAATTAGTAATATTTGTATCCTTAAACCATTATTATCTCAAAAAAAAAAATCTTAAAATCTAAAAATATTTTCTGGCTTTAAATAACCTGCAAAAGGTTGCTAAGTCGTAGAAAACACTTAATCAAACTACTAATCCAGCCTGATAGAATTTCTCTATTTGACTTGGTAATTAAACACATGACCAATGCTTATATCTATGGTGGTTTGTGTGAGGTTATCTTATGATAACGTTGTTTCCCACCATCTATTTAAATGACTGTGTAACCGTTGAAAGAAAATCACCAGGAAATAAATATATGCAAAATAAATTGTTTATATAACACAATGTACTTATACAGAAAGATAGAGTTATAAGATAAATGTCTTTGTGCATACAAAGAGATTCCTGGAGTATTTATAAGTTCAGATATAACTAAAAATATATCTGTAAAAGAACAATGTGAATAAAGACAAAAAAAAAAACAAAATGTTTTATTTTCTGATGGACGTTATCAAGGATTTTATTTTGCAACAAGTATTTATAAACAGAAGTAAAAATGTTAGTTTTTCAGAATTTTTAAATTTAACTATGTTCATCAGACTAACTGAAAGTCAAAGTAAATTATGGAGGATGCTAAGTGATGTAATTTAATGCCTAATAAATGAAAGTGTATAAGCATTGAATTTTTTTATAATATTTATATCATTTTAGTTTGAGATTAATTTATGTATCATATATCTTAATTAATAGAAGGTTTTGAATTTAACCATTTTCTTTTAACTGTTTTAAAATTTTTATAGTTAAGTGTGTTGGTTTGGGAAAAGAGTATTTCTTTTACGAAAGAAGATATTTGAAAAAATTTGCAGCACAGATTTATATTTTGGAAAGACTCAATAGTGGCACTCTCAAAAATTTTCAGTCTATGTAAATTACTTTCTCTTTTAATAAGTATGGCATTCTTTAGATCAAAGTTGTAGTCAAACTTATTTCTATGTATGATTTATGCATTTAATAAATTGTGTATATCAAATGCATTAGTCATACATTTTTGTTTCCATTTTCTTTAAAACTTCCTCATTGTTCACATGCTTTGTTCATAGTATTCTCAGCATTCTTCTGTAAAACCACATCTTTGTTACCTCAAGTCTTCTCTCCATCATAACATTATGTAAGTTTCAGAAACAGGATTGTTTAATTAAAAAAAATGAAAATAATGTCAAGATTTAAAAAAAAAAATAGGCCTAAAAAATAAATACCTATCAAATGACACACTCATCACTATTAATCAATATTAACCAGTATGTATTTTTACAAAAATATTTGTAAGTGTACTTTAGATGCTTTGAATTTTGAATCTGGCAATAAATACTACATCATATGGCAGATTTTCTTTTTAATTTTAAAAGAAAACATTGTCATTAACCCTGTAGACTCCAATGTGGAGTATAGGGCCACAGATTCACCATGTAACTAACTATAACAAGTAACAGTTCAACATGTTCTAAAAAGACAATTTCTCTTACATAAATAGTTTTCCTGTACTTTCTAAAACTCTGATAGCCAAAATATAGTGTTGAAGTTAAGCAAAAAAATATTTTCTTTTTATTTAACAAGCCATATTACAGATTATTTTTTGCTTTAAAAGAAAATGTTGTTGTTAACCATGTAGATTCAGTGTTGCTGCTGTGATTTCTGTAGCAAGTACATTTTTTACAGGATGGCATAAAAGTAAACATAGATTCCCAGAATGTTAATTTTATAACACAAACTGAATTTTACCAATTCAGAATGAATATATCAAAGCATAGCATAGAACAGGCGTGGGCAACCTTTTCCTACTAGAGAGCCACATGAGATATGACCCTTTATAAGGTGGGCTGCACTACTAAAAAAGATTCAACACATTTTTAAGCCATTTTCACTATGGAAGACTCCATGCATAAGTGTCTGTCTTAGAAATGGGGAAAATTTGCTTTTTTTTTTCTTTGGAGAAAAGATTGTTTTATAATTAAAAAATTGAAATTGTGGTATAATATTAATACAGTTGACAGCATGATTAGCACATGCCACTTCATGTGATTCATTTCTAATTTATTCACTTGAAAATACAAAAAAAACTTTTTAATAAAAGTTATATTTCTCCTCCAGAAAAAAAATCATTATAAACATTTCCTGTTTCTAAAGCAAAAGGTATTTATACATCTGATATTCCTTAGTGAAAATTACCAATGGTATAAAATGATGAAAACACTATCTTCAACAGAAGATTAAAAGTTTAAGGAACATTGCACTTAATCTTTGTTTATGTATGAGAGTATGTGAATGAACAAGTGAGAACGAAATTAAACAAACCAAATTTTTAGAAATGTTATTTTCCTTATGAAATTAGGCATGCAATTCCAAAAACCAAATTTTTTTTTTAAATAGGCCACATGTGGTCCATTGGCCTCAGTTTACCTATGACTGGCATAGATCTTGTCATGTTGCAAGTTCTGTATCCCATTTGGGTTGTAAGGGCAAGATTGCATAATGAAGCCCATCCCTCTTTGTGCTGATTTTGAATTCAGAGTTTTTTACTCTTCCTAGACTAGTTGCTACTTCAATCTAAGAGAGCCTAGTCTGCCCTGCTATTTAACCCATAGCTGGAGGAAGGTGGATTCATTTAAAGTTAACAAAATTGAGTGGAAAGTGAATTTGGTACACCAAATTTACTTTCCAAGCTGATAACCATTACACTATCTGTGAATCCAGTAGCACAGATATACTTTCATTCAACTTTGTCCCCAAATTTTGAAGAAGCTTTTCTGAGTATACAAATAAGCTGGCATATATAATTTTTGTTAGAAATATATAGGGAAAAAATAAATTATATTAAGCATAGTTATTCTATATAAAGTTCATTTCATAACATCAGATTTAAAGTATATAATATTATTGTTGCTCTTAAAATGTGGAAATATATCAAGAAAGAAGATAAAATTGATATAGGAAATTCTTACTCTGGGTGTTAGCTAAACAGAGTAGCACTAGTTCAATGGAGTCACTAAGTTTTAATTTGTAGCTGTTCATCTCTGAGTCAACTGGGTGCAGGTAAATGGCATTGGGTGGAGAAGTTATAAAGTTTAGCCTGGCTCACTTCAAAACTGCTTCTTTCACTGTATTTATCTCAGTCTGTGCAGATAGAGCCATACAACATAAAATTAACACTGAATATATTTTCTTTTCTGATGGCAAATTTTTAGTTGAAATGTTATGTTACAGCTGCCTGTTAGAAACAAAACTGCTTCTAAATTCAAAATATTTTTGAATTTCAGCAACTGGATATATTAAACTAAAAATATAAATATATACTTCAAACAATTTATGCAATTATAACAAGTAACAGTTAACATGTTCGAAAAAGATAATTTCTCTTATACAAATAGTTTTCCTGTATTTTTGGACAGTCTGATGGCCAAAATATAATGCTAAAGTTAGAGCAAGCAAATGATTTCTTTTTATTGCAGAAGCCATTTCTGCATGATTTGTAAAACTTGTAAACACATTTGAGACTGTTTTCTAAATATAAATTCAAGTAAATCTTTTAAAATATATCTTAACAGTTATGTGCAAGAATCAATAAGTCTGTGGCCTAATGATAAAAAGCATTTATTTTACATAACAACTATTTACTTTTCAACATAACCACCTTCTTTGTCAATGCACTTACTCCAATGCTTCTTAATTAATCTTATAGAGTGAGCATTATACAGTGAAAATTTCAGATCAAAATATAGCTAACAATTGTATCGGCCTGAATTTCTGGGTGAGTTCAATCTCTGGGCTGGGTAGTACTTACTTGAACTCAGGGATAATGGGGTGAGCCATAACTGTGCAGTACTAAATAAGAACTAGATGACACATAGTCAATGGAATGGGAATAACCTACACTCATAGATTAAATAAAGTGTTCAGTCCAAAATTCCCTGAAGGATCAGCAAGCACCTGATGAATGTCTGAGGGCAAAATGGACAAAAATGTTGCAATAATAATAACAAAGGTTAAAACAATGGTCTGTATGTAAATAATAATTGTATCTGGTTACAGTCTTATTCAATCAATCAAGGCCGACTGTTGTCCGGATCATAGGGTCATTGTAAATGCCACATTTCTGTCATTAACTGCATAGCATGTGCTTCACCAGGGCTGCATACGGTTTTGAATTCAGAGTTGTTCTTCTAAACTAGTTGCTACCCAAGGCTGAAGATCCCAGTATGATCTACTGTTTAACCCATAAAGAGGGGGCAATGGATTCATACCTTTCCCAAGGGTATTTGTCCAAAAGTGAATGTAATGAAACTTGACTGGAACACAAACTTGTCTCTCTGATTTCTCATTCCGAGCTGCTATCCATTAGACCGCCCACACATCCACTGTTCAGATTTTTGGGTGGGGTTATAGATAATAGCTCAGAATGAGAAATAAGGGAGCTGACTTCAAATTCCAGTTGAGCTTGTTACATTCACTCACACACAAATACCATTGGAAAAATTAAGAATACATTTTTTTCTCAACGAAAGAGAAGGACAATTCTTAATTCAAAACCGTATGTAGCCCTGGTGAAACACATACTATGCAGCTAAGGAAAGAATCTTGGAGTTCACAATGGCCCTATGATCCCAACTACAATCAACAGTCTTATTCACCCACACCCATTTACCCAAATCATTAGTTGAGTTATTTTGAAGAGACAGCTCATCTTTCATCATATTTAATGGCATATAGTGGAGTTGTTCAGTGGGATTTATGATGTCTGAGATTAAAGCAACACGCTTTATTACAAACATTTGTCATATCTTTCCATATTGTAATATCTACTTTTTACAAATG